TGGTACGGATTGATTGTGCTATCTATTGCACTTTTAGGATTGTAGACTATGTCTTGGGAGTAGTTGTAGCCTGATTTAGAGAAAAAGGTTGATTGCAGTTCAACAGTGAATGATTGAGCTGGTGAGTGAGACAGGGTGCGAGGCCCTGAATGATATGATTTCTAGAGCCGAGAATAGGAGGATTGTTGGAATGCTTTTGAAGAAGGATTGTGAATTCTTCAACTCTAATGTATTGTGAAGACTTAGTCGAATCTAAGTTAGGAAGAATTATTCTGGGATTCAGAAGTAGGGGTGGTTTGAAATGGGATAAGTTTCGCATCGTTGTCAGGAAGGAAGACAACCCAAGTGGTTGTTAGGTTTGAGGGTTGTGTGAGTTGGGAGTTCGGTAAAACTCCCTAGCATGTGAACCGCGTGTTCTCAGTGCTTGATAGCAGAACTTGGGAAATCAGGTTGGGATTCTAGCCATGAATTAAGTTCAGTGGTGTGATAGGTTGAGCGCGTATTTGACCGACATGGAAAGTGTTGTAAGACTACAGGGGTAGTCGTAGCATTCACTAGTAGCAGATAGTGCTAGAGTGATGTAAGTTTGTGGGTGTAGCCGCAACATTCTCTAAGGTGGTAGATAGCAAGAGGGAGTTGTTAGGATGCGGAAGGGACAATAGTAACCACCAGTTTAGGTGTAACAGTAAGGACATGGAAATCCACGTATTAGTTTATGGATTTCCCCAGAGGGATTAGACCTAGTTAAGCTAGTGATAAGACTATAGGAACGTCACTAGAGTTATGGGATCAAGGAAGCAATGGATTGCTTAAGGTTGCTTGTGATGTAATACCACCATTGATCATGTAGCAATTGCTTTTATCCACATATTTGGTGACGTCAGGATTTGACACATGGGTGAAATCGGTTTAATCAGGAGGTTGTTAGAGTCGCATTGGCATGATGGCTAGTGGAAACTAGTTCTAGGGAAGGATTTTGTTCGGAAGTCGTGTGAAGCAACTGTATGGGAGTCCTTTAGCTCCGCGACCGGGCCGGAACCTGATATTTCAGATGAGTGTTACTTAGTTGTGGCGAATCAGAGGATTTTGGATAAGATGCAAGGACAAGTCCTTGGATTTTAAGTTATGGGTTAGACCTGAGTTATGTATATGGTGGTATTCCATCCTAGGCATGATTGGACCCGTTGTAGGCATGCCTGGTTTTCCAGCTCGAGGCTGATTGGATCAGGTATGAGTGACTGTGCTTATGAGTTGGTTATTATAGGTGTGCAGTTCGAGAACTAAAGGAAACATTTTCTTGTTGATCCAAAAAGGGCTCATATCCTAGTTTACATCCGGCTGTTCATTATATCACAAGGAATTGGTTATCAAGATGAATTTCTCTTGAAGGAGTACCTAATCTCTTGTCCAGAAGAGAATTGCAGGTAGCAATGTGGGAATTGTCATTCTGTTATCGAGTGGGGGTCCAAGGTTATTAGCAATTGAGTAGCCAATTGGGAGTTAAGTGCAATGAATTCCATCTCAAGACTTCAGCTTTCGAATTGAGTACCTGTGATTATATTGCAAAGGATTCATTTATTTCCAGATTTTAGAACCCCGTGAGGGTTAGTTGCGATTGCCTTGAAAAGGCTAGGGTTATGCACGAGATTATAGTTAGAGTTGTTTGGAGTGTAAGGAATAAGAAGAAACGATTTCGAGGACGAAATCAAATTTAAGTGGGGGAGAGTTATAACATCTTATTTAAATAAAATAATTAAATAATAAATCCGGAAACCTAAAATCTTATTTTACTATTATTTTTTATTACTATCTTCCAAAAGTTAAATAATAATAAGCGGGGTGTTGGTTTCAGGAAGCCAAATGGCAAGATTTGAATCTCCAGGGGCTAAAAGTGTATTTCTAGGACTTAATTTGTGAGGATTTTCAGGAGTCAGGGACTGGTTAGTAAGATTGAGACTTAAATGGAAAGGATAATGAAATGATGGGGACTAAATTGTAAAATTCGGATTTAATTTGAAAGGGATGTCATGGGGAGGGGGCTGATATGTAAACTGTGTATAAAATTTGTTTGGAGCGGGACTTGAACCCCACTCTCTTCCCCATCGCCCCAGTAGCCCATGTATGTATATATTCTTATTAACTGCATGCAACACCAAAAACACTAAATTTAATTCTTCAGCCGCTATGCTCATCTCCTGCTGCCACCTCCCTCCATGGACGCCAACGAAGCTGCTGCCCAGATGATGAAGACGAAGATGCCGACGAGGACCACCAGCAGTCCTGCTCCCCGGTTGTTGTTAATTTTTGTTCGAGTAAGCTTCAACGAGAAGGAGTTCCACCATTAATAGCCACTGCTATTTCCTTGCTGCCATCGTCGCAACCCCACGGCGTTGGGCTTATTTTCTGGACAAGATGCATGTGTCACCGTTGAAGACAAAACTGTCGACGGATGCTGTGGTTGCAAACGATCAGAAGAGGAAAGCGTGAGGCTGTCGTTGTTGTTATTCCTGGCAACGAACTGTTCGTCTCCCTAGTCTGTCGGATCGCCGCTCAACACCGCTGCTAAGAGTGTTTGTGTATATGTTTCAGTCATGTATCAGGCTTGGCGGTGCTTTGAGGGTTGCTGATTTCCATATGGATGCTTGAAGGATAGAAAGACCCGAAGATAAACCACAATGGCCACCGACCATGGTGGTTGCTGCCTCTAGTAACTTGTTATCGCTGTTGTTGCCGCCAAGTGGGTGGTTGGAGTATATTTTGATATCGGATGTGGGTGTGCGTATTTTGAAAGGTTGAAAAGCTAGGGTTGCCATCCTCTATCACCACCGGCTGCCACAGTGCGGTTGTGTGTGTGTGTAATTAGTATGTGTTTTATTGGTTGTGTGTGTTAAGAGGATAATATTTTAATTTGTAACCAAAGTGAAATAATGAAAAGAAGAACCAAACCACCACCGTGAAGTGGTGGGTGCCGCCACCGGCCGCCATGTCGGGTGGCAGTGTGCCTCGTTGCATTTTTTGGACTCGTTTGGATGTTTGGAAAGAGGCTACTAAACCCTAATGGGCCTTGAAACCCTAATGAGCCCAATGAGGCTTAATGGACATAAAAGCCCAACACATGTGATTAATGGGCTTAAGGAAACCCTAATGGGTCTAGTGGGCCCCAATTGTCCCAAAGAGACCCTAATGGGCCCAATAAGGCCCAAATTGACCTAAAAGGCCAACCAAGACACTAATGTGCTAGTATTGGGTTAGAGAAACCCTAAGGGCATAAAACCTTAATTGTGGAAATTGTTAGGACACACACTGGAGAATTATTTAATAACGTAAAATATTAAATAATAATAATTGGCAGAAATTAATCTAAGCAATATTTGACTCAATGGATTAAGTCCTTAGTCGATTATGTCCTTAATGGCTTAAGAAGGAAACTTAACCCTAATCGGCATTTTATGTGAAGCCCTAACTTCACTTGGGTTTATTGGTGGGCCTTTCTATTGGTCCTTGACGATTGGATTATTAATGGGCAATCCAAGAATAATCATATGGACTAAAATAATTTAATGGGCCTAAGGTAAGGCCCATGTAAGGGGTTGGGCCTAATTTGGAAAATTGGGCCATAGATGGGTCATAATTGGGCCTTAATGATTATATGATGTTGGGCCTTAGAATAAGACCATGCATAGGCTTGGGCCCAATTTGGAAAATTAGGCAATATGTTGGGCTTTGATTCCTAGTTGACTTTTAGGTCTTTGGTTTAGGACTTGGGCTTGAATCAAGCCAAGATGGGGTAATGTAGCATGTTACTCCAACAATGTGTGGTTATGTATTTGGACCTAATTATTAGTTGGGTGATTTTTTGATATTGACAGTTTGGGAATTTGTCATCCAGCAACTCGGATTGTGTCTATGGGACTTCAACGTTTCGAGGTGAGTTATCCTCACTATACTAAAGGGGTCTAAGGCACCAAGGCCGGCCCATTGGATATGTTATCTTAGTAATGTTAAATGTTGAGTATGTGTTAGTGTTGAATGCTAGTGGTTATGCCAGTTAGGTAGACCTGTATGACTACCTGTAATGTTATATGATTATTGCATGCCCAATAGTTATGATTATATGTTGTGTGGGTTGGGTTGAGGTTGTACAGCTCCATGCGGTAGCCAACGAACCCTAGAGTATTCCAGATATGAGCTGAGCGCCCGGTAGGTATTCCAGACTCATACTGAGGACTCAGGAGTATGCCAGATATGAGCTGAGGGCCCGGTAGGCATTCCAGACTCATACTGAGGACTTAGGAGCATTCCAGATACGAGGTGAGGGCCTGGAAGGCATTCCAGACTCGTATTGAGGGCTTGGTGGCAATCCAGATGTGAGCTGAGGGCTCGGCAGGCATTCTAGACTCACACTGTGGGCCCAAGGGTATTCCAGTCTGTAGAGCTGAGGACCTGTTATGTGTTGTTCTGTTTTATTGATACGATATGCTAATGTTGGTATTGCTATGTGAATTGTATGTGTATCGGTATTTTGGGGGTAACTCACTCAGCGTTCGGGCTTACAGTTCAGTGTTTTGTTTCAGGTACTTCAACAGATCACCGCAAGGCGAAGGCGTGATCGTACCGCTCCTCATGTTCTATGATTTATGTGATATGGTTCTGGGGAATACTCTGATACTTAAACTATTTTGAAAACAAATGGTAATAACTTAATGGTTTTAAATGTTTTAAAAAGTTTTAAATTTGCTTGAATTTTACGGGTATTACATGATCATCTTGAGAAAGCCCCTTATTCAATTAAAAATTGTAATGGATTCAGATGTGAAATAAAGTACCTTGGTGGGTTACGGATCACAGTAAAATTCATGGACTTGACAAGTAGAAATGCTTTCATGAATGGGCGGGTGGAATTGTTTCAGAAAATTGATAGTGGTGATATTGCGGAATTTCATTTTGATAGAATTGCTTGGATAAAAATACCACCAGAGTTGTGATCGGAGGAAAACTTCATGGCCATTGTTGCGACTTATGGTCAGGTGGTGGTTCCGTTCGTTGTGGATCAAACGGTGACTAATCTATCATTTGGAAAAGTTAGCATCCTAACATCATCACTAACGAACATTTACTGTGAATCATTGGTGGAGGTTAAAGGAAAATTTATTAAAATCGGAATTTCAGAAGTGGATATCAACTAGGTACCATTCAAGTTACACATATACCAACTCGATGAAAACTCATCATCAGACGATGATAGGACGGATGATGAAGGATTCGACGATGATGATGGGACCATTATCGCTGAGAATAATAATGAATTGGAGGAAGGAGAGATTGGAACGATGGACGTCGATAGGGTCATGGAATCAAATCGGGGAAACTTGTCTAACACCGCCAACAACACTACATCACCGGTGGCGGCTCTATTTCCGAAAAACATTTCAGTTGACAAGAATGATCGGAGAATCAAAAGAGACAGACATAAGGAGCATCAAAGTTCGGATGGAGAAACTAATGTTTGATTGGAAGTTGAAACCCTTAGAAGTAAGGATAATATTAACACCACAAATCATGCCAACCTAGAAAGGGAATCATACGCGGCTGATACAAATAAACGAAAGTATTGGACTTGGCGGATCATCTAATGGACTAATTAATAAACTGGCTATGTCCGGCTGCTTTGCTCCTTTTGCAAGCACAATGGATTTTAATGATAGGCCAATAAGTGGGTCTGATGTTAATTTTGATAGTGTCCAAGACAAAAGAAGAATATTAGCGAGAAACGACACAGAAACCCTATCGATTCATTAGACTTTACTCTGTCTCATCCATCACTTGATCTAAATAGAATTTTGGTTCCTGCACAAGTTCCTCTTCTCGACATTGAGGTTAATTCTTCATCCTCTTCGTCGGAAATTTGAAACACTGTGGCGGTGGGAAACATTTTGGGCTTCGAGGTCGATGTGGATAACCCGATCCTTAAGGAAGTCCTCGGTGAGGATGGAGAGAATCAAACCATACAATGAATATCATGACTCTCAACATTATAGGTATTGGAGAGAAACACAAGGTGAATTGGGTTCGCAGGATTCGTAGTGAACATAAATTACGTATAATTAGTATTCAAGAGTTCAACTTGGGTGAATCATCGCCTCCTCTCAATATTACAGAATGTTGGGGTGACCCTGACTACAAGTCCGAGCAGGTTTTCACCATGGGGAGATCTGGAGATTTGGCATCTATATGGGATAAGAAAACTTTTTCTCTTGTTAGGACTTTCAATTCTAGGTATTTTATGATGACATTAGGTAATTTTGTTGGCATTAATGGTGTCATAGGCGTCGTAAACATTTATGGCCTCAATCTATAAATGAGTAATCAAAATTATGGGATGAGTTGTTAGTTTTGAAATTCTCTATATCCTTTACATGGATCCTTTTGGGAGATTCTAATGTGGTCCGAAGACCTGAAGAACGAATAAAATCGGCTTTTTTTCCCAATAAGTGTAAATGCTTTTAATCAATTCATACGCATGGGCGAACTCACAGACCTAAAGATGGGAGGTCAAAAATTAACCTTCATTAAAACACATGGTGCGAAACTAAGTAAATTAGATAGATTTTTGGTGTGTAGTCATTTCCTAGACATGTTTCCTCTTGCCTCCACATCGGCATTGGACAAAGACCTTTCTGATCACTCTCCCATTATTTTGAGGGCTCGATGCGATGATTTTGGCCTCCCACCATTCAAACTATTTAACTCATGGATGCTTAAGGATGGATTTGATGAGGTTATTGAGAAAGCATGTTCTGAGTTTGGAACGCATGATGCCTATATCTTGAATAAGCTTAAATATTTAAAAAAAAAAAGCAATAAAATGTTGGAGAACTAATACAGGAAAGGATGGAAACAAAGATTTTGATTCCCTGAAAAAAAAATAATGGTTGGGATTGAAAAGTTGGCGGAATCTTGACCTTTAACTTCTGCAAAAATTAAAGAAAGGTCGATTAGAGGAGTTAAAATTGTGGAACATGCCAGAAGTATTGCTTTGAACCTGAAGCAAAGAGTAAAAATAAAATTGGAGGTTGAAGGAGAGGAAAACACATGTTTTTTTCATGGGTATGTGAACAACAGAAACCATAAAAATCACATACATGGAATTATGGCAAACGGAGTCTGGATTACGGATCCATGTGAAACTAAGCAGGAGGCTGCTAAATTATTCGACATGAAATATAGAGAACGTTGGCAGTACAGACATTCGTTTCGGAGCTCTAGCTTCTATAAGCTTTCTGAAATAGATTCTTGGTTCTTAAAAGGAGAATTTTCCATTTGTGAAATAAAAAATGCAGTGTGGTCATGTGGCAGTGACAAGTCTCTGGGCCTGACGGATTCACTTTTAAATTCCTCAAAAAATACTGGGAGGTTCTAAAAGACGATATCGTGGGGTTGGTTAAATGCTTTGAAATGGGAGAAAAAATCACTAGAGGCTGTAATTCTTTGTTTATTTCCCTAGCAGCCAAGACAAAAGATCCAATTCACCTCGGGGATTTTAGAGCTATAAGCCTTATCGGATCTATATACAAGATCATTGAAAAATTGTTGGCACTTCAAATAAAGATGGTCATTGACAGTGTTATTGATAAGGTTCAATCCGCATATGTTGAAGGAAGAAATATCCTCCAGGGCCCTTTGGCGGTTAATGAGCTTTGCTCTTGGGCAAAATCAAATGGAAAGAAGATGCTTCTATTTAAGGATGACTTTAACAAAGCTTTTGATTTTGTAAATTGGGTTTATCTGGACTTAATTATGGAGAAAATGGGCTTTGAAAATAATTAGAGATATTGGATTCATAATTGTTTGGAATTAGGTCGAGCATCGATGATTATTAATGGAAGCCCAACAGATGAATTCTCTATGGAGAATGGAGTGAGACAAGGCGACCCGGTCTCTCCCTTCCTATTCATCATTGTGATGGAAGGGTTGAATATGGCGATGAAGACAACGGTTGATAAAGGAGTTTTTTACGGAATAAAATTCCCAAACTCTAATATTTGTTTGTCTCATCTATTTTATGCAATTGACGCTTTATTCATCGAAGAATGGTCGAGACGTAACATCGCTAACTTAACAAGGATCTTGAGATGCTTTTATGTTGCATCCGGTCTGAAAGTTAACTTTAGCAAATCTAAAGTATTTGGTGTTGGAGCATCTACTAGTGAAGTATCGAACTGGGCTAGTCCTCTTTGTTGCGGACCATCATCTCTCCCATTCACTTACCTGGGTATTCTTGTGGGTGAAAACATGAACTTGAAGAATGCATGGCGGCCGATTATTGAAAAGTTTCATTCCAAATTCTTTGTATAGAAAGCGAAAACACTTAGCTTCGGTGGTTGATTAACCCTAACAAAACCGGTACTTGATAATCTTCCTACCTTCTTCCTGTACATCTTTGTTGTTCCAGATGGTGTCATTGAGACCTTAGAGAAAATGAGAAGAAGATTTATATGGAGCAATAAATTGGAGAAGAAAAGCATCAATTTGGTTGCTTGGGAAACACTTACTTCCCCAAAAAGGGCAAGTGGCATAAGGCTTGGATCTATTAAGAATCTTAACATTTCTCTGTTAGCTAGGTGGATGTGGCGATTGAAAAATGAAAACTTCGCACTTTAGGTGAAAGTCATTCGATGCATTCATGGATTAGATGCAAGACATTGGTTTATCTTTGCCAATAGATCTAGAACGGGTGTTTGGAAGAATATAGTCAAAATCAGACCTGTATTAAAGAATCTCAACGTTGATCCTAATGAAATTGTGTATTGGATTAAAATGGTGAGTCACATTGTTTGTGATGGACCGTTCGAATGGTGTAAAGTCATACCAACTAAGATCTTATGCTTTATTTGGAGAGTGAAGTTTAGAAGAATCCCATCATCAGTTTTGTTAAAATTAATGGGAGTTCCTGTTCTATCGACTACGTGTGGTTCATGTAACTTGGAGGAGGAAATGAGCGATCACATCCTTCTTTTATGCCCACTGTCTAAAGCTATCATGAATTCGATTTTATCTTGGTGCGAAATCTCACACGATGGATTTGACTCGGTAAAGGATATGTTACTTTTCATATGTCGGTGGTCTAAGTGCAAAAAGAAAAGAAGTATGTTGAATGTGATTTTATGTGGAGGATTATGGTGTATATGGAAAGACATAAATCAAAGGATTTTCAAAAATATTCTCTTTGTACCAGCGAATACGGTGGAGAAGATAAAATCAATAATTTTCATATGGTGTAAACATAGAGGTTCCTTTCAAAACATGGATCGGAGAGTTTCGAATCTTGATCCTTTTCTTTGTTTTGTAATTTTCTTGTTTTTTGTTTTTCAACTTTGTACTTTCCCTGGGCAACATCTTGATGTGAGGTGTTTTGTTTCATATATTTGTCGTTTAAAAAAAATGTAATTTCAATGTATATAACTAACTCGATGACTAACAATATGTGTTAGGCATCTTTTATGCGATGTAAGCATAGGTCATCAAAATGCTTTATAATATATGCAGGATAAGGGTGAGCATGGTGCGGTTTTAGGGTCAAACCGAACCACAAACCACAAGGTGCGGTTTTTGAATTCTAGAAACCGTTGGGTGCGGTTTTTCAATGGTTCGGTTTTGCGGTTTTTTTTAGTGCAGTTTCGGTTTGTACCAGTTCAGTGTCGGTTTTAAACCGAGTCAAAAATTTGGTGCGGTTTTTTTTTGTTCACCCTTACCGTGATATTCATGTGAAGATTTATGATTATATAACATGATGTTATTTCGTTTCCTCATATTTAGAAGCTGTAATTTTGAGTTTTTTTTTATGTTGTTTACTTGATTACTTTATTTGCAACCCATATTTCCAAGCTCATTTTTTTTATTCAATTTGTACTTAGAAGTTACAAGCTTGCAAGTTGTAGCTACAACATATTTACACTTTACACATAATCATTAAGTCACAAATACAAAGTGACAAACTCACATATTAAACCTAATACCTAATTACTAATTACCTTCAAGTTCAATATATAATATATGTATAAATTAGAATCTATTAGTTTTTTAAATAATATGTACAATTGTATAACATAATTTTACTGATTTATTTTATTGTTAATAAGCTTGCTGTGCGGTTCGGTTTTGGTGGTTCAGTTTCTATATAAAAACCGCACCGCACCAATAAATTCGGTTTTTCAAAAAAATAAAATCCGCACCATCGGTTTTTGCGTCGGATTTAGTTTTTCGGTTGCGGTTTATTACGGTTTTTGCGATTTTCCTTTTATCGGTTCGGTTTTTGCTCACCTCAAGGATGTGATCGCAATATATATATATATATATATATATATATATATATATATATATATATATATATATATATTATATATATATATATATATATATATATATATATATATATATATATATATATACACCAAAAATAAAACAAAATATGCATTTCAGCAGGGATAAAGGGTCAAATTAGGCATTCTGA